CTTGAGAGGCTGCCGGGTGCTGTTGCTAGTGCATCTGGTCCCGTGCAACCATGACGGCCACTGCATCTTCTCGATATTGGCCTGGGCAGTCAAGACGGCTCACTCGCTCACTCGCTCGCTCGCTGGCAAGGCTAAGGCGTCTATTCCGGCCCCCGTCGCACGAGGGTGCCACAAGCGTGCGCGGCGCCTGCTCGAAGCGTCGGAAAGAGGATCCGACCGGGCGGGCCGGCTCTCCACGCACCGCTGCCCCGCGACCTCGATACCGAAAGCAGTGACCAGGTGCGGGCCTGGTGCAGAATGGGAGAAACCGCGCCTAAGCCCTTCGCAGCCAAATCGGAGCCCAGTGTGGAGATGCGAAGCTGCAAGCTTGGCGGGCCCCCGGAATGGTTCGTCGCGGAGTCGCGGGCTCGTGGTGGGCAAAAGTACCCTGCCTACCCGCTCACCAGCCCGTTGATTGTACAGATGTGATCGATCCACGTGGGAGGCTAGATGAAAGCAACGCCGCGGGCGGCATGTGGCAGTCTGGTAGGGGCCTAAATGTCTTACATATTAATCAAATTATCATAATGGCACGTCGCGGCGGCGGCGGTGGCAGCTTTCATTTGTCGGGAGCCCGTGAGAAACAAGATTGACGGGCTCTACAGGTGCTAGTGGCAATCGACATCGCGAATCCTTCAGAAGTATCCGAATCCTGCGGCGCAGGTACGAGGCTCAAATGCAAGCTCCCTCCGCCTTAGCAGCCGACCTGCCCCGCTCGGTGGGAGTACCAGTGGCGCTGTTGCAGGGGTGTAGAAAGGCCGAGAACACGGCGTTAGATGATCGTGGATGATATTCGCGGACAAAAGTGGATAGATGTCGACGACTACGTTAGTCCTTACCACAGTACATACCAGCCTGGTTGGCTGGCTCACCGACTGACCTGATTGATTTGGGCGCTGCCGAGAGAGGAGCACCGCTGGCCAAGTCGTGTGAGTTTAGACCCAACTGACGGAGGTGTTGGAGAGGGGAGCAGACTGTGATGCCCTCAGCCCTGGGCCCTTGTGGGCTTCCTTCAAGATGTTTGTTGCCTGGACAGGATGGGCAGGGTGACCTTGCCACCGACGGACGAGGGCGGATTCGAGAAAGCCCTGCCTGGTGATTGTGTGCCTTGTGGCGAGATGTTGGGGCCTAGAGGGAAGTTTCACCTTTTAATATCTGCCTCTCGAGTGCCGATCCTGAGGCCAGGGCGGAGAGTGATGCTGCTGCTGATGCTGCTGAGGGCCGCCCGCTGCCGCCCACTGCCGCCGCCGCCGTGGTGCTGCTGCTTGGCCATGGCCCACGGATGGCCCACGGATGGCCCACGGATGGCCTCGAGAGTCGAGACCCGTCTCGAGACCCGTCTCGAGACCCTTCTCGCGACCCTCGAGACCCCCAACTCGCAAGCGGACGGCCCACGATCCATCAACCCCGTTCCCGATGCGACTCGTGCACCGGGCAGCCGGTACGGTGCGGATGTTGTTGCATTCTGCTGTCATCACCTTGATTTTTGCCCAGCAAAGGAAGGGTTTCGGTTGGTGCCCGTGATGGAACGTGTCGTGGGTGTGCAGCTCGCAGGATGGGATGACGACAGGGCCGCAACATGGCAAGCTCTGTCATGGCACGCAACACCATCTCTGATGTGGTGTGTGTCGTGCGGCCCAGGTGCGACTCCGTATTCCGCATCACAGCACGCATACGCAGCGACGACGGGGTTCGGTGGGCAAAAGTCAGCGGGGGGGCAGGTAGCCATACGGCGACCAGGCATGCCCAGGTGTGGTGTAGACACCGATGGAGGTGTCACCGCGTAAGCCAATCTGGGAGGGGACGGCATGGCCGTTGCTGCCGCTGGTCGCTGGTCGCTGGTCGCAGGTCGCAACTCACAGGTATCCGGGCCATGCTGCCATTGCTGCCATTGCTGCCCACCACCGGTGTACATCTGTACCGTACGGCGATTGGGCCGGGCAGATGCTGTCATTGCGCAGGAGGGGCAGGGGGGATCCAGAATCCTTCGCGCAGTTTTGGGTTACCAGCAGACCAGGAGTGCAGCAGCAGAAGCAGCAGGCATTTTGCTGTGTACTCCGTACCTTGCGTGGTGGCCCTGGCTGGCCCTGCTTGCCCTGGCCTGCCTGCCTGCCCTGGCCTGCCCTTGGGTGGCTCGTGTGATTTCGTGTGGTTCCAAGGGGGGGCCCAATGTGCGTGTTGGTTGTTAGTGGCCCCGGCAATGTAGCATCGGATAAGTCAGACGTGATGTGGATTTTTTTTGGGCAAGGGCTGCTGCGCTGCCAGGCGGGAAAACAGCTCGTCAGTGTGCTGGTGTTGGTTGCTCCAAATTTGATATTGGGCTGGACCACGGTGGGGATTGATCATCGCTGTCGCGCAGGGGACTAGCTGCACGGACAATCAGACAAGATACTAATAGTACAAGAGCTGACGAGCAAGAAGACTCGAGCAAGCAGGCAAAAGCACGAGCAGGCAAGGTCGACGATGACCAGTTGGGGCTGCCCAGGGGAGGTAACACAGTACATTGTGGGCCACCACGGTATCTGGGCAAGTGGGGAAGTTCAGGCCGCTAAGGGAACAGCCGAGAAGGGCGCTTTTCTGATTGGCACAAAAGCCTTGCTTAACCGCGCGAGGTACGTACCTCGCCCATTGGCGGCACTGGATTGGGCCGACACAGCCGACCTTCCTGCCACTACTGCAGGCCTGCAGGTCCATAGGTCACTAGGTGCCGAAAGTCAGCAGCAACCTACAGCAGTTGAGCAGCGTGGCAGCCTGGACAAGTAGCATCTGGCTGTTTTTAGCTGGTCTTCAGGGCACTCTAGGCCTGCAGGGGTACTTGGTTGACCCCAGCGTGGGCACGACTGGAGGGCTAAATACAGAAAGGGCAGGGCAGGGCAGGGCAGGGCAGGGGCAGGGCAAGGGTGAGAGGTAGGGCGGGGCGGGTGGGAGACGGGCAGGGAAGGAGCTCACAGCCCCCCCGGCCCGTCATGGTCGCTGGTTGCTGCTGCCCGCTGTTGCTGTTTCTGGGTGTTTCTGTTTCTGATTCGGCTCCTCTTGGCCTCACCACCCGCTCCTCCCTGGAATTGATCACTGCATCATGACCTTACTGCGGCCTCGACGAGAGGGCAGGCACAATCATAATGATGAGTGATCAGAGTCCAGCACGTGCCCCTGCTGGGCTGAACACGAACACACACCGTCGTGGTGCATGGCTGCGACCAACTCATTCCAACAGTCTCAGTCTACCGTTCTATTTTACCACAGCACACTATTCTGGTGATGCCATGGTTGCATCGCGCGTCTAACGAGACCCACGTCCATCTCAGGTGGATGTCGCGACTCGCCACAGCCCACGGTCCACAGGCCACAGTCCACAGCATCAGCACTCGCCCATCAGATGCTGTGGTCATGGAGGCTCAAACGCCCCCCTACGCGGTAGCCGGCCCCGGACGCGGCCCAGGGCTGACTGACATGTTCTTCAGTGATGATGAGCAGCCTGCAGGGCCGTGGAATCGGCCGCCATTCGCCCACCTTCTCCGCCCCCAACCCGATTGCCACGTCCTTCGACACGCACGCCTGCATGTCTGCATCGGCTGGCATGGGGGAGAGATTGTCTGCAGCAGACAGACAGGGTCCGATGGCCCGCCTGGGTGAGATGCAATGCTGCCTCACTGCCACGGCTGTCATCTGCTGCTGCTTCGATGGGTCAACAAGACGGACAGACAGACGGACGGATTGCTGTTTAGAGTGCACACAGCCATCGTCGTCCCTGGCAAGTCGTCGCACAATCGAGGCTGAGGTGAGCTCGGCCTCGATCCCGCTTCTGACTGACTGATTGAGTCCAACTCCTCCTACCAGGCTCGAGCCCGTCTTCCCGTCGGGACAGCCACATCCTGTGCCACATCCATCCATCCTCACCAGTTCACGCCACCAAGCACACGCGGATCATCACATCAGACTTGTTCTGGTCCCTGTGTGCGCATGTCGTGCTTGAGCTTGGGGGTTTGGGTGGTCACAGCAGCGGCTTGGTCTGGGGTCCAAGGCCCAGGTCGTGGACTTTGTTCCATCACGGCGCCACGCATATGCCATGGACAAAAGTCTTCGCGAAGGCGGTGGAATTCCGGTCTTACGTGCATGCTCAGGCCCATTCAGCGTTGAGCCTCCTCCGTCTTACTGGGACTTTCTTCTAATGCCCCTGGACCACACCCGGCAGTGGCATCAGGAGGAGCTGCACCGGTGGCATCGGCGTCAGCAATAGAATAGACCTGCTACCACCGAGTATTGAACGCATCATCAGAGCCCACGCGCCTGAGCAGGCAAGGCAACCTCGTCTCGCTCGCTACTCCATGTCCGTACCCACCAGTGCTACCCACCAGCTCTGCCACCCTGGTGCCTGCTAACCAGCCCGACGCGACCCCATGCCCGGGTATCCCTGCGAAGCCCGCACCACAGCTCCCGCGGTCGGTCCCTCAACGGCCCGCTGCGATTGACCTCGAGGACAGTCGTCTTTGTCCGGCCAGCTCTACCACGCTGCCACGACGTAGCCGCCACCAGCAGATGCTATTGTTGGTGCAGGGGCGCGGCACCAACTGCTCGGCAGAGCGCAGAATTCCACAAAAATTCTGGCTCGCTCCCCACACAGGAACCGCCTTGTGCAGGTGGAGACTGCGGGCTGCAGATGGGTGCAGCGTACTCGATACAATGCGTCTGTGTCTGCGTGGGTTGCGTGGGTTGCGTGTGTGTGTGTGTGTGTGTGTCCTGCACTGCATCGTTCTGCAAGCAGCTCAGCTCAGCACAGCACAGCGCAGCACAGCTCGTTCTTCGTGTCTACTGGGCGTCATGTCATCTTGAGAAATTGAGAGACACCCCCGTGAGGCAGAGCAGCCACCCCGCCCAGCTCAGCAAGCACACTTCCGCCGCTGGGTGTACATACATACGTACATAACACACACATGGCCAGCCCGGATTACATGGTGCCTGGTCTTGTATCACCTCCCGCACACCACTCGAGTGACATTGACACCTCGGGATCCACTTCCACCACCCAACCCACATCGACACCCTAAGACGGATCCTTTCTCACCTCTGCTGTATTCCTGCGCCGCCTGCCGCCTCTCCTTCTCCAAACTGGTCCCTGGAAATCCTCCTGCTCTGCCCTTCCCCTTCCGGCCGGGCCTCTCTCTCATCAGCTGTCAGTCCCTTGTCAGCCTTCTTGTCACTTTCTCTCGCCAACCTACCACCAAACCCAATCTTGCTGACATCCTGCATTAGACTTTTTCCCTCTCTCTCCCACTCCCAACCTTCCTCCCATTCTTCCGACTGCGAGCGACTCTGCTCTGCTTCTCCCCTTACTGCCCGCCTGACGTGCCCACTGACGCCTTTTCCCTATCACTCATGTTGGCCCTATCAAACTGATAGCCGGCCGTCTCCTTTCCGTCATTTTCATTCTGCGCCCGAGGCCGCTGTACTATACCAGAGATACCCAGCCTGTCCGTTTTTGCTTGTCTGCGCCGCTCTGTCTTGCCATGACCTGCCAGTCAATACAAGGCCAGCAGTCCTCGCGTTGCATACCCTAAATTCGCATCACCTCGCCTGCGCTGACACGCGAGTACTGCTCGCCGTCTCGCCGTGGGCATCGCACGTACCCCTCCCTGCACACCCCTGTACCCTATACCCTCGTGCACGGCATTCCTCCACCTCAACACCACCCTCGCCCGAATTCGACAGCGCCGTTCATATTCGTTATGGCAGACGACCGGTCAAGGGCCAAGCGGAGCTCTCTACCCCGGATCGACACCACAGCCTTGCCTGTCAGACCGCACGAACAGCAAGTCGTCGCCGCCGCCACCGCCGACGACAACAGTCAGCAGCAGCAGCAGCAGCAGTCGCGGCCCCGCACCCTGGAGGACCGCATCCTAAACTCCGTTGCCAGCTCCCTTTCATTATCTCCGGACAAGCTGCGCGAGTCCTTCATGCCTGGTCGCAATGGGGATGAAGAGTCAGCTGCGACAAATGGGGGCACGCCCTTCGTCAAAGCTTTCGCGGAGGAAAACGTGACCATCCAGACCAAAGTGATAGCTGGCTCCAAGACACTTGCTGATGTGGAAACCCGCGTGATACCGTACTCTGCACATTCCCTGAAGGGCTCACTTGTTCAGGCCGACGACGACAACGACCAGGACCAGGACTCTTCCTCAGAAGAAGAAGAAGACGACAGCCCAGGTGCTGCGGTTGACGTCCGCTCAGCATCGGTCATGATCGCCCCGGAGCGGATACACCGAGCCAGCCGCATGGATTCGACCCGACTACGACCCAAGAGGCAAGAGCCTCAAGGACACTCGCGGAACCAGAGCGGCGCATCTGCGACGCCCTTAACCACCCTTGACAAGCCAAGCGAGGTCGAGCTTTTCCTGGGCTCAGAAAGTGCCGTATCAAAAGTAGTCGTCCTGAAGCCACGCGCTGGGCTCTTTGATGAGAAGCTTGTCGCCTGTCTGACACTTAGCAGTATCCCACCCCGGGAACCGGACTCCCCCAAGATCGAGCTTGTGTCACCCTCGCAGATGTTCTTTGCCGGATCCCAGATAGCCACTATCAAACACAATCTTATATCACAGCCAACCGTCGAACCCAAGGTCATACCGGAGGTCTGGGTGCCACTGGATGACCTCCCCTCCTTGCCAGACTCTGACGAGATTGACCGGAGGAAACTTCGCACATGGGTGCAGAATGCGAATCAAGACGTCTACGAGAAGGTCATGAGCCTGTGCACTGATCAGCCCCTGCAGCCACCGGCAACCGAGATGGAGAAGAGCATACAGAAGCTGGTCGCAAGGGTCCTGCAGGTGCCACCAGACCAGGTCGGCATGAACTTCACCTTTTCGCAATTTGGAGGTGACGAGGTAACTGCTATGGCCCTCGTCACAAACGCCAGGGTGGAATCGATATTCCTAGAGAGCCACGAGATCCTGCAGTCGAATAACACGCTGGCTCACCTCGCCAACCTGGCAACCCAGAGAGGCGGGCTGGCGCACAAGTGGGCCGCCGAGGAGGAGGAGAAGATCGCCGTCGATGGTGAGGATAGCTCGCCATACCACTACTTCGAGCTCTCTCCGATGCAGAAGCTGTATTTCAACACCGCCATGGGCGGCGATTCGGCCAGTCGTGCTGCCGCCGATGGGAGCTACCGTTTCAACCAATCTCTTCTACTGCGCGTTGCCAAGTGTTTCTCCGTGCAGGATATCTCGGCCGCTACCGATGCAGTCGTCGGTCATCACTCCATGCTGAGAGCAAGGTTTTCCCATGTTCGGAACGAGTGGATCCAGAGAATATTACCCGAGATCGACAGCTCATACGCCTTTACGCACTACACTGTCAGCACGAACGAACAGCTCGAGTCCGCGGTTTACCAGGTTCAGACATCTCTCGATATTGAAGATGGACCCGTCTTTGCTGTAGCGCATTTCTCAACGGCAGACGGGCACCAGATGGTGTACCTTGCTGCACATCATCTCGTTGTCGACCTGGTATCGTGGCGGCTGATCATCCGGGATTTGGACGAGCTCCTCCAAAGCGGCAGCCTACTGTCTCAGAGGTCGATGCCCTTCCAGAAGTGGACAGAATTGCAGAAGCTCGACGCACAAGTGCCCTCTGGCGGGTTGCCTTTCGAGATTTGCCCGGGAGATTTGAATTATTGGGGTCTGTCTGATTCGCCGAATACTTACGGCGATGCCAACGAGGCCAGTTTCTCGCTCACTGCGGAGCTAACGTCCATCTTGGAGACGACATGCTGCCAAGTCTTGCAGACGGATCCAGTGGACATCTATATCGCTGCTCTGATGCTCTCTTTTGCGCAAACATTCCCTGACAGGAGTGTGCCAGATGTCTGGAATCAAGAACATGGACGTGACCTTTGGAGTAATGACCTTGACATCACCGAGACAGTCGGGTGGTTCACAACACTCTGCCCTCTAAATCAGCACATCACTCCGGCCAGCGATTTCATCGACATCCTACGGCGTATGAAGGACACGAGGAGAGCGGTTCCTCACAAGGGCGCTCATTACTTTGCCAGCAAATTCTTCCCCGGCGATAGCGAATCACCCAGCGGACCTGATGGCAACCGGCCGTCGTCTCCGAATTTCATGCAAATTGCAACGCGTGATTGGCCCATTGAGATTCTGTTCAGCTATGCAGGCAGCCTACAGGACCTGGGAAAGGACCCGCTCAACGGCGATGGTGTACTCGAGCAGATGATACTCCCGGGACGCACCCTCGACTCGCGGACATCCGATATTGGCCCCGCAGTTGGACGAATCGCGCTCTTTGAGGTCAACACAACGATTGACCAGGGTTCTGCCAAGATCAAATTCCTGTACAACCGAAACTCGCGCCATTCTGACAAGATCACCTCATGGATCAGCAATTATGAGCACCTCCTCCTCGAGGCAATTGGCCGTCTTCGCTTCCACGAGCCGGAGCTCACACTAGCCGACATTCCGCAGTTGTGGGCAACGGGCGTCAGCTATGAGGGCTTGGACCGGTTGAACCGAGTGATCGTTGCAGATCTCGGGTTGAGCAGTGTCAAGGACATCGAGGCTGTCTTCCCACTCACACCGGTGCAGCAGAGTGTCCTTGTGTCACAGGACCGTCAAATGCGCCTCCAAGCCTCAGATTATGGCAACAATGATGCTTACGGCTACATACCTAGTTCCAGCAGTAGCGGAAACGGGAACGCTTGCCACATTCATACGATGTACGAATTTGCAAGTTCAGATGGCGCGCCAGTTGACCTCGAGCGGATCTGTGCCGCGTGGAGTCAAGTCGTCGCCCGGTATTCTGCGCTCCGAACCGTCTTCATTGATAGTGTCGCCGAGAAAGGGCTCTACAACGCTGTGGTACTGCGGCGATCGAGCCCTAACATGCTATTCCTCGATGCGACACCCAGCGAAGACCCGGTCGACACTCTGAACAACCTTCCTCCATTGACAGCGTTCCCGGCACTGAAGAACATACCACGGCACCGATTGACAGTGTGCCATTCGCCCATGAAGACCGTCATCAAGCTAGATGTCTCTGCGGCGCTCTGCGATATGATGAGTGTGAACACTCTCATTGCTGACTTGAGAAAGGGTTACGCTACAGGCCGAGCATTACCAGTCACAAGTGGCGACGCCTCGATATTTTCATATGCGGGCTATCTTGATATTCTCCGCGGCTTGGACCGGGACAGGAGCATTGGCTGGTGGCGGGATACTTTGGCTAGCATTACCCAGCCGTGCCTTTTCCCGCGGTTGGACTTCTATTATGGCGGCGAAAGCAAGGACTCAGCAGCCTCTCGGCGTTATGACAACGCGCACGTGGAAATCAGCGATGTACCCTTCTTCAAAGTTGCGGAGTTCGGGAGGGCAAACAAGACGACGACAGGTGCGATTTTGAGGCTGGCTTGGGGCTTGGTACTGCGGACCGTCACAGGCAACAGCTCTGTTTGCTTTGGCTACAGGGCCCCTGGACGATCAGCCACTCTGGAGGGAATGAGGGCCGCCGTGGGATGCTTTGCGAACACTATCGCTGTAGCTTTCGACCTGTCGCCCTTCAAGCCTCTCGCCATTGTCTTGAAGCAGATTGAGGACGTGTACAACGCCGCCTTGCCACATCAGCACATCACCATGGCCGAAGTCCGGCACGCACTCGCCGTCGGGAAGAAGGGAGTTGCTGCTGACTTTCAGCTGTTTAATTCCGTCTTGTCTTTCACCGAGGAGCCGTCGGACCTGAACAGTCGCCCCGGGTCTCGGACCAACTTCGAGCTAAGAAACGTACTGAACCACGAAACGAGTGACTACGACTTGACAATCAACACGCGGTTTAGCAATGCCACAGGCAGACTGGTCATTGATGTTGGGCACTCCATCCTGTCTGAGACACAGGCACATAACATCGCGAACACGTTCGGCAGAGCTGTCAGCGCCATCATCAAGTGCACAGTGCCATCTGCGCACATCGGATCCCTTGACCTGTTTTCCGACCGCGATTACGCACAGATCGTCAACTGGACTACCCCGGCTGACAAGGACTACCAGAACCAGCAGAGAACGCTACTGCATGAGTTGGTATTCGCGCAGAGTATCACTCGGCCCGATTCAAAGGCCATCTGTGCCCATGACGGCGACCTCACTTACCTCCAGGTCGAAGTTCTCTCCCACAGGCTGGCTCACGTGCTCCTTGAGGCCGGCGTGCTCCCCAAAGGTAACTCCAAGGCAGCCGTCCCAGTCATCCTTGACAAATCCAAATGGGCCCCTATAGCACTTCTTGCTATTCTCAAGGTCGGTGCTGCTTTCGTGCCCGTCGATGCGGATGAAATGGGCTTTGTTGCGAAGATTTCCGAGCAGCTAGGTTCAAGCAGCCGCGTTGCGGTTGCGTGCGCATCAGCTGCTGAGGCCCTGGACAACTTTACGGAACCAGTGCCCCTGTTTGACCGTGTGGTTCGCCTTGATGATGCCCTAATGAAGCGCCTCGAGAAGGAAGCACCCGTGCCTGGGCAACTGCTCCCGCCCAGCAAGCCCGAGGACGTGGCTTGTGTCTACTTCACAGCAACATCCTCCCGATCAGTCCGCGGTATCAGCTTCACGCACGCCTCGTTGTCAACCGCATTCATCGGGCAGGGCCCTGCAGCAGGAATCAACAACACGACACGTGTACTCCAGCTGTCCAGCTTTAATGTCGACGTTTCTCTGGCTGAGATCTTCACTACACTTGTCAGCGGCGGTACCATCTGCATTCCGACATCGAAAGACAGGTACAACGACTACACCGGCTGTGTGTCCAGATTCAGCGCGACATGGAGTTACATGACGCCTTTGCTCGCCCGAAAGCTCAACGTGGACCTCTTACCGTCCCTGAAGACGGTCTGCTTCCGCACACGTGGGCTCGACGAGGACACCTATGCCCCGTGGCGCGGTAGGAAGAGGGTCGTCATGGCTTATGGTGCGCCAGATGTCTGCCCTCTAGGTATTTCCTTCCTGGAAATTCATGGGCCGCACCACTTGAAAGCCATTGGACGTCCGATCGCTGGATCTGCATGGATTGTCTCCGGCGAGGATCACAGAAACCTCATGCCTGTCGGTGCTGTTGGAGAGATGGTCATCGAAGGTCCGACGCTGGGCAGGACTTTCCGACGATCTTACCTGAGCGGCGACCACGAAGATTCAAGGGACGTGGCAGAGACGCCGGTGTCACCCGAGAGTCGGAGCCCTTTCTCTGCCGCAAATGCGCAAGGTCACAGCCGTCATCGAAGCCTTGATGACGTTGTGGCATCAGACGAGCAGAAAGAGAGCAAGAAGCGCTACTACAAGACTGGTCACAGTGTTCGCTACATTGAAGGCGGACTGATGGAGTACGTCTCGTCTAAGCGCGATGACCTTGAGATCAATGGGCGCGTGGTGAATCTTGCCGATCTTGAACAGCAAATCCGTCGGGCACTGGGACCAGGAGTCGATGTGATGGTTGAGGCGCTCGCTTTCAAGGGCGATCGAAGCAGATCCCCGACCTTGGCGGCATTCCTGGAACTGGGAAGTGATGCCGCCGCATCGCTTGGCCAGCACAGCCTGGACCTTTCCAACCTCACACCTGAGATCAAGCACCGTGTCTTTGTCTCCAGGAACCTGGTCGAAAAGGCCATGTCCGGGGTGGTACCTGACTTCATGATCCCGAAGATCTTCATCCCTGTCCGACACCTGCCGACAACTTATTCCCTCAAGGTCAACCGCCGCAAGCTACAGAAGGTCATCAAAGGCCTCTCCCGGGACCAACTACTGGAGCTCGGGAAGGAGGAGAATGCGAAGCAAGTCGAGAGTGTCAACGCGCTGAAGACACTGCCGCTGAATGAGCTCGCGGACAAGGTCAGGGCCATCTGGGCCAGGGTCCTCGGCGTTGAGCAAAGTGCAATTGACACCGCGAACGGTTTCATCAAGTCAGGTGGCGATGAGGTCTCAGCCGCCGAGGTTGTAGTGCAGTGCAGGAGAGAAGGAGTTCCAGTATTCATCTCGGATCTCCTGAGTGATATCCCGCTGGCTGAAATTTGTAGAGCCGGCAATCGCTATGAACTCGCTGCTGGAGATGTTAACGTTTCTGTGGAGGACAACTCATCCATTGAACAGGCTCCCGAAGCGGTCGCCGAGACAGAATACGACGAAACAAGCGACTCAAGCGCGGCGACGGCCGCAGCTCCTCAGGTCATCGAGAAGAGCTTTATTGAGAGCACTCTCGCACCAAAGCTTGGAATCGAACCCGGCCTGATTAGAGACGTGGCTGAAGCGACATCAACACAGATCCGCCACATCGAAACTGCCATGCTCACCCAGGGCCCTCAACGTTCATCGTCAATCTCGCAAGGACAGGGCCCGGCAAGCATCAACTATTTTGTATTCCACTTCACAGCCGCCAGCTCAACTACCTCTGTGTCAGCACGCCGCATCGAAGAGGTTTGCCAGATCCTAGCCTCCGTGCACCCGATCCTCCGAACTGCCTTTGTCCCTCATGTCGAGGGCCAGACAAGAAAGCTGTACCAGGCTGTCCTGAAACACCACAGCGTTGATTTCAAGAGCATCCCTCGGGTACAGAGCTGGCGCCTCAACGCTGCGGTCGACAAGGAGATCAAACGTGATCGCGAAAAGTTGCAGAGCAGAAACCAGCTAGACCTTTTCTCAAGGCCGATCACCAAGTTCATGTTCCTAGATGCTGGTAAGACAAGCACTCTCGTGCTGAGACTGTCAAGAGCGCAATACGACGACGTGTCTATTGGGCTGCTCGTCAAAGACCTCAAGAAGCTGTATGATGGAGGCCAGAACCCACCCCGCCGACCGGGATTCGCCGATTTCGTCCGCGAGGCAGCACTTGCCAACGTTGGTGGAGAGGCGGAGAGGTACTGGCGCGGATTGTTGGAAGGCGTGCAGCCAACCTCTGTGATCCGGCATCCTAAACCGCCAAGGTTGAGCAGTGGTGTCCGCACCCTGCGAGAGACCGTCCCTGTCAGCTCCACTGCTATGGGTGGCCTTGGCATCGGCTTTGACACAGTACTAAAAGCCGCCTGGGGAATGGTCCTTGCTAGCATTTCGGGCACACCCGATGTCGTCTTCGGAGAGGTCGTGGAGGGTTGCCACTCGCGTCTTCAGCATCATCTCGGCCCGTCAAGCGTCAACCGTGGCGGTGTTCTCGGTCCCACCTCTACCATCCTGCCCGTGCGCGTAAAGTTTGCCGATGCGCGCACCAGTCCACTGAACCTGCTGAAGTGCATTGCTGAGCAGAGATCTTCCGGCGTGCCATACGAGAATCTCGGCATGTTGGATGTGATCGAGAAATGCACGCCATGGCCATACTGGACGCGGCTGAGCACGGTGGTACAGCACCGGACGGACCCCGAGACGGTGTTTGTCGGTGATGGACGGACGAAGAGTTTCAGACTTGGTGCAGCGCTGTGCAGAGTCAGTGTGATTGAAAGTGAAGTTATCGATGTGCCGGACTTCTTTGTCAAGAGTGTGGTTATCAAGAAGAAGGCTGGTGCAGGAGCAGCCGGTGGCGGGACGAGCGGGAGGCTGCCAGGTGCGACAAGCTGGGGGGAGGAAGAGGAGGAGCTCGAGGTGACGGTGTCTTTCCCAGAGCAGTGTGTCCCTGCCACGCTCGCGCAGGAGGTCCTGAATAAGGTATGTGGCTTCGTTGGCATGTTGACGGGCTTCAGCATCATGCAGTCTGTGGTGCCGACTGCGGCCCAATACTCGACTTTGACGAAGCAGATCCCGCTCCCGCTGCCCGTTTTCGCGAACAGCCCTACGTCTGCTACTTTTGGCCACGGAGTCCAGTTCTCGAACCCCTTCGGTGGAGGAGGATCCTCCGGTCTCAATTTCGCCCAGCTCGAGGGCAAAATGTCTCCGGACCAGACCCAGACGATCCAATCAACCATCGAAGAAGCCTGGCGCAGCACACTTGATCCTCGAACTCTCGGTGTGCCGGAGGAGCATGTCACATCCGCAGCGTTCTACGATCTGTGGGGCTCACTGATACCTGCCGCGCAGCTGGCCGACTTCCTGACCGAGACGATCCCCGAGCGCTTGGTTGGCGATCTGACCACGAACGTATTTGGCGGCAATTTGGATGGGTTTCACGTCACCATGCAAGAAATTGTGAACCACCCCACCATGCTAAATCAGTTCGAGCTGGTCGTCCGCAAGGTCTTTGGCGGCGAAGCCCGCGACAGGTCTGGCAGCTTGAGAAGCGCCTCGAGAACCAACAGCCTGCAGCACGCGGTCAGGAAGAGCAACAGCCTGACCAACGTGGCCAACGTGGCCGGGACTGTGCGGAAGAGCACCAGCAACAGTAGCCTCGGACCAGGACAGCTCAACCGTGCGGGCACAGTCGGCACTTTCGAGCCGTCAAAACTAGGACACAGCAGGACTCGAAGTGACTCGACGACAAACACAGCTGCGACAAGCTCCTCCACCGCATCTCCTGCAACGAAATCACACTCGATCTTCCCGAGCCACCCAGCTGTACATCCGCCTATTTCTCAACGAGGGTCTCAACCTGTCCAGCCCGTCCAGCGCCAACATAAGCGGAGCGACAGCAACGCCAGCAACACTACCCACACCACCGCGCTTACCGATGCTGTCAGCACGGCAGGGGGGAGCAGCAGTGGTAGTGTGGTCACAGCACCGACCAGCGTCAGCAACACACCTCCCATGAGCATTACGAGCCCCGGATCGTCGCACCCGAGCGAACTCCCTGGCTCGGCTGTGCATGCGCTGCGTCTGAAGCGGTCGAACAAGAGTCTCAAATCTAGCCAGCCCGAGTCTCCGGTCCTTGGAAACAACATGATTACCAGCCCGCCACTGGTGCAAGCGGGCTTTTCAGCGACCCGGAAGAAGACCAACCTTGGGCTGGGATCGAGTCTACGACGGATGGCAAGTACTCTGAGGCCCGGAAGTGCGGGTGGACACAGCCGAGAGAACAGCAAAGACAACATTCTCTCACGGTCCAACACCGCCCTGCGATCACCGCCGCCTCCGCCACCAATCCCTCAAGACGCTCGGCCGAACCTCAAATCCAATGGTAGATCAACCTCGTCAGGTAGCGACATGAGCAAAGACGTGCCGCTACCACCCGTCTCGCCATGGCTGAGGGTTCAGAGCATGGCGCCACAGTTGCCACCGTTCCCTCCGTTCACACCCGTCACAGAGGACGCCTTCTCTATGGATGGAAGTGCCCGTGACAGCCCGGATTTGAGCCTGGGTCAGACGAGCGTAGGGACTTCGCCGGACCTCAGTGCCGAGGCAGCCGAACCGCAAAGCGACGAAAGCGGAGAGACAATCAAGGAGAGCAAGCCAGCTAGGAACAGCCAAAACAGCCAAAAGAGCCAAGGGGCGCAACAGGATGGGCAGCTCTCAAGGGCGGGGTCCTGTGGGTCGATGACAGAGGGCTCGAGCGCAGAGGACGTGGACGAACACATCGACGACCACCAGGACGCCGAGGCTGAGGAGGAAAGCACTCTCCGGCCGCACCAGGCCCAGAACCTGAAATATCTGTACAGCACGGGTCTGCAGCCACCACAGCCTGTGCAGCTCGAGCAGCCGCCACCCTCGCCTGATGCCCACCGCCAGTCGCAGCAGTCCAGCAAGGCAAGCCCGTACAGAGAGACGTTCTACATGGAAGAGGACGAGGAGACAGACGACGAGGAGGCGGGAGAAGCGCACGAGCAGAAATTGGAGGAGCCGCATGATACTCAGTACGACTCGTACGAGGAGTTTGACGACTCGCCCGAGACGCCGCGGCAGCCGTCGTCCCGGCCCATCACCATGATCCACTCGCCTCTGCAGCCGAGCACCACAAAGAGGGACGAGCCGCCGATGCCGGGGTCGTTCCCGTACCCCCCGCAGCACCATCAGCCGCAGCACCATCACATGCAAGACTCCCCGACGATCGTCGAGCCCGAGGCGGCGGTGGGGGTTGGGGCATCGTCCTCGTCGGGCAGCGGCGGCACGGACGTGATGGACTTTGCGGCCATCGAGGCGGCCGAGATGGACGACATGGTGTCGCCGCTCACGCCCGTCGAGCGGGCGATGCTGTACAAGTCGCAGGGGATGGGGGCGCGGCACCACCGTGGCGGCGGGGGCGGGGGCCGGTTGGCCGCCGGGCAGAACGCCAGTAATGTCAGCCCTATGACGCCTGGGTACGGCGTGCCGACTGCGCAGGCCCAGGGTGCTGATCCGGGGCTGATGGGGGGGTTTCATGCCATGTGATTTATGATGGTGATGATGATGATGATGTGTGGGTTGAGGGGGGAAGAAGATGAAAGAAGAAGGGGGAGGGAGAGGAGGAGTGTTCGTTTCTCGCATATTTGCATGTTGCTCTTACGGCCTCATCCTTTTTGTTTACTAGGGTTGTTTATTGTCTCTTAGTCTCTTGAGTTATCTTGTTCTTTTTTTTTTACATTTTCTGGTATGAGCCTGGACTTTTAGGGATTCTTTTTTTTTTTCTTTAGATATTCTTTTTGCATACCCATGGGAGTTTAGTGGGCTTTTGTGATGTAATTAATGCAATGCATCGATGGGATGATATCAAGTCTCTTTTTGTTTCCTTTTTGGTCTGGAGGTCTGGGGATCTTGGACTCTGTGTGTCTGTCTGTCTGCCTGTCTGTCTTTTGCTTTGTATGACTCATTTTTTCTACGCTGGGTCTTTTTTATATACCTTATTTGCACAAAATACCACTGTTGCTTGCGTCTTGCCATGTGAGAATATGATGTTTATTTTGTGATTTTGGACTGTCTGTTGAGTGTGGCCTCTGTTGGGTTGATGGATGGAGGTTAGGAGAGTATTATATCTATAATGTGAATTTAGAAATATTCTGATAGTTCTATGTCTGCTATGTGCTTAAAGTGAATATGTGATGATTGCAAGCTGGGTTGTTTTGCTGTATGGTTCAATGTCCGGCAGTTGTATGTTGCTAGGTGTCATTCACACAACTTAAAGCCACAAAGATGTTGGTGTTGGTGGGGACCATGTTGTGGGGCCTGCCTAGAAATGTACCTAGGTATGTCTGCCTGGAGCACGTGTCCTTAGGACCTGGTACAGCGTCGGCCCAGATGTAAACTTGCGTTGAAACGCTGGGAACTCTACCTGGCTTGGGATTCTTCCGATCTATGTATCTTTCTTTCATTCATCAGAGAAAGTGGCACTTGCCGGCGAGCGCACATCAGCACCCTCACTTGCATCCAGCCAATCCGAGTCACTCATCGTCAAAACCAAGATGGCTTCCTCCCTCGAGTCACCAACGTTCCGCTGGAAACATGACCCATGGACCACCACGCCCCCACCTGCTAGTATCGATAAAAGCACTGTGGCCGATCTCCTTGACGATACGCATCAAGCCGCCTTCCAGCGGGCCATGACCAACGTGCTCGCCACGGACTTGGCTGAGCTCACGATCGCCCAGCTTGTCGATGGGCTTCCACTCTGGGAGGTCGCTGATAACACATCGAGGCACAAGCATAAAATAGAGGACGCTGTGTACAAGCATAGAGAGTTGTGCCCTGGAGCCATGGATCAGGCCAGAGCCCTTCGCCAGAAATTGGACCTACTGGCTATGGAGATCAGATCAGATGTGAGCGTTATAATTCTATGAAGAGGCCAAACCCTAAGCTAATCGTACATGACAATGATTGTAAGGCTCTCAATCGATATCAATCTGTGCCTGTCGGATCCAAGGCATCCAAATTGCCCCTGATTGAACTCATTGCCGTGGCTGTACATGCGCTTGCCGTGGAGGTCTTTACACAAGTTGATGATGGCTTTCACAAGCCCGAGGAGTGGCTCAGTGACGACAATTACGATGCTGAACCCCTGCTAGTAGGGAGCCCGAGGCGGCATAAGATGGCTACACCCTTCTCTCTGTGGTACAATTTTGATGACCCCAAGCAGTATCCTCACGGAGTCGCCGACGTTGCCGCATACTGGGCGGAGGATAGGATCTTCGGCGGCGTCGTCCTCTTTGGACGAGGGAAATCAGGGAAAGAGGTCTGTTGCTTGGTTCCCGCTACCTCCGAGTCTACTTTGCATGCAAACTCTAACTTTTCAGCAGCAAGACGGCGTCTGGTTCCACAGCCACCGGCGCCGTGTCACGCTTCACATCTATGCGCTGCGTGAGGATCAGGTGGCCTCCCTGACGCAATTCCTGGAATCTGAACCTGGGGAGGCGGCATCTCTGTGCTGTCCGTTCCCGATCCTCGCTAATAGGGAGAACGTACGTCGAGACTACAGACTGTCTATGCCAAAGTATAAGATCTACAGGGATCCTTGGGAGCGAAAGATGTTCTATACGTCGTATCACTCGTATTTCCGCTTGTCGGCAGACTGTAGGGAATTTGAAGTGGATCCAATCGAGCGGCCTGAATGGAATCGTATGTACGACTCGGGCTCTGACTGATAGTCGCCGTGAATTCTAAATGGACTATACATTCTGTACTCTTGTCGGCATTATGTTTCTCACAACTCTGCGCACTGTAGGAGTCACTGTAGGGTCCCATTAGATGGTGGGGTATTTGAGTAGTTGGCTGGATTATTTGGTTATGGAGGGCCATCACAAGGTTCTATGTACGTCGTGGAGTGGCGGACCACCTAGCGATGGACCATTTGGTCCCCCAATCGTCTGCCACAGCCATTGAGCGTTTACCACTGTATGAAGGTATCGTATGCACTCTACAGGTACGGGGAGTAGAAACGAAACCAACCCATTCAATGTAATTTCAGTGGGTATTTACCCCCACCATACCAATTCGGGATGCTCTCAGTCTATCTTTGCTAGCACACACTCATTCAAAAACATTCCAGTTACACTGCACTAGATGGTGAATCGTTGGCTTCAGATCAATAGAGATCCGAAAGTTCATCATCCGGGTCGCAGAACCCCTCAACGTCGTTCCCTCGCTGGGAAAAATCCCAGTCATCTCGCGATTCGAACCTCATCTTGCGCTCCCATCGGTCCCGGTAAATATTGTGCTCGGGAATGCAGTTATCAGCGTCCCTTCGTAGCTTGTAGTGAAACCTAAGCTTGATTGGGAGTGGACAGTCATTCTCGACAGCAGTCTCTTGGGCACTACTACCAGCAGGCTCCGATTCCAGGAAGCTCAGCAGCCTCGTCAGTTGGTCTTCTGTCAGCGCCCTGACCTCATTGCGGTAGGTGGCACCCTCCCTGAATGAATGCAACCATACATCGTTGCACTTTTGTTTCGTGAACCGCGGAGATTCATTGATTAGCTAGCTATCAGACATAGACGTGGATGCATGACAAAAGCGCGCTCGAATGGCACGAACCCACCTCGGCTCCGCTTTCGCCCCGGCTGAAGACGACAACACCGCCGAAAATCCAGTTCTCGGCCCAGTAACCGACAATGTCTGCCACGCCGTCTGGATACTCTGGGTTTGCGTACTCTTTTAGGCAGAACGGCGTCAGGTAGTAGTTCCTATATGGCTCAGAGGAGCCGTCATTGCAGAGGCGGTCTTCCTCGACTGGGAGCTTGTGAACCTTGCCCTGTCCATGGGCGAGGCCCGCAATCCTGTGGATGGCGACGGCAACGAGCTCAATGAAGGGTAGTTTCGATGCCCGTGATCCCGCGGGTATGTTTTGGTATCGCTTCAGAACATCGACGGGCAGGTCGAGATCTGTGCATGGATCGAAGTCGTCGCGGAGTTCTCTTGCCCTGTCCAACGCGCCTGGGCATAGTGTTGTGTGCTCAATGACACATTTGTGGTAGTGACCGCCTACAGTCAAGTTGGCGATTCTCTTCAAGGGCAGTCCGTCTATGATCTGTGCCAGTGTGAACTCCGCAGCTTTCGTGCGAAGAACATTTGTGATGGCGCGGCGGAACATTGCTTGGTGTGGTTGGTCCAGTATCTCGTCAACGGAGCATCGGTAGATGGACGCTGGCGGTGAGACCGTGGTGTACTCCATATCGTCGTCCTCCCAGTCATTGGGGGGATTTGTTGACGATGGCGCTGGCAGAGACATTTGGAGATTCTCAATCTGGATGGTAAAGTTGCAGAAATGCGTAGAGTCTGCCTTGCGTCGTAGAATAACGCCATCTCAGAAGCGATCTTCCAGTGGATGCCTGGCAAAGACCCTCATGTGAGTGGATCGAGTTTGCTTACATAACTTAAAAACTCCATTCTCAGGGAGGAACTGCTTATTTGGGTTGGACGAGATGAAATGTGGAGCATTCATGAGCCCTTGTGCCTGGCTGCTCTTCAAGAATCACCCAGATTCATGGCAATTTTAAAAAGGTCTACTACCGAAGACTGGAGGAGAGATGACTCCACGGCAGTGAGGGTACTCATCAGAATCGTCCCTGCGTTGTCCGTAACAAGTTGATGATGCGGCCAATGTGTCTTGCCGTGGCGTTGAAAAAGAAGTGTATAAATAACTTCAGTGCGCGAAAGATGATCACAACGATACTGATTTCACTTTTTGATAAAATAGAATTGAGTCAACAAAGGAAGCACAAGAACACACTGGCATTAGATACAAGCTTTGTCGGATGTCCGCTACGCAGCTATAGTATATAAGAGGAAAAGTATAGATATAAATAAAGGGGCTGTATAAAAGAAGGGTGGTGGTGGAAATAATAGGCTAGGCTAGAAGTAGTAGGTAGTGGCGTTAGGGTGATAGTAGAATGTGGGGCTATACTCTTAAACAAAAAACTTCTATAGCTAAGCGCTAAGAAGTTTCTCCCTTTCTTTTTTTTTTTTACCCCTAGATCCCCCTTTATCCTAATAAAACATATTATTTATATAGCTCTATATAGCTCTATATAGCTCTATATAACTCTATATAGACCTTAAGGCTTATATAATTTTATACTCTAACTTAATTCTAAAAGAGTTATACTTAGTATTAAGGCTAGATAGCTAGCTATATTATATAACGATATATAATACTAACTTATATCTATATAAATATATTTAACCCCCCCTACTTTAAGCTTTACTTTTAAATTAAATTATAACTTACTATAAGATTATATATCTCTATATAAGTTAGTATAGCTCTTTATAAGATTACCTTTTATAATAAAAAGAAGGGTAAAGCTATATAGAACCACCTTAATAATAGAGAGGTCTTACCTTATAGTATAATAATATATATTATTTAAAAGGCTTAGAACTAATATAATAAAGTAGATACTATTAATATAAGTATATATAATACTATATAAAATTAAGTTAAGGATTTTAATTATAATAATATTTATACCTCTATTATAAATCCTAATAAGTATAAATTAGTCTTTATTTTATTTAGTTTACCTTTATATAACTCTAAGGAGCTTATAAATATATTTATAGGTAGAGTATAAACTTATATAGAATAATAATAAACTTATATAAGATAATAATAGACTTAAATAGAATAATAATAAACTTATAAAAGGTAATAATAAACTTATAAAAGATTTATAGTTAGCACTAATTATATAAACTAATATAAAATTATATAAGTCCTTAGTCTTAACTTTAAAGAATATATAAAATTTTATATAAAACTTTTATAACCCTTTATATATAGAGATATAGGATATTTATATAAATATAAATAAAGTTTAATAATATAAATAATAAGGTTAGTTAAATTAATAATAATTACTTAATATTAAAGAATTATATTAAGAACCTATATAAATTTAATAAAGATAGCACTTCTTATATATACTTAAATAGTACTATTTAAAAGTTTATAAATCCTTTTAACCTTATATATATTATTAATACTATATATAACTCCTAAAAAATAGCTAGCTCTTCCTATATTAGACTATATAAGTATGAGTAAGATATTATAGTAGTTAAATCTAAGCGCTTAAGCTTATACACCCCTCCTAGCTAAAAGTCTTATAAGCCTAAGTCTATTTCCACTTATATAAAGTTAAATAAGACTTATATAACCAACTTTTTAGATCTATATATCAATAAGGCAATTATATTTAAAAAGCAGTGTATAGCTCTAACGAAGCTAAGTATATTTATATATAGAAAGCCTAGATCCCACAATGTTATATATGTTTATATAGCTTAGGGTAAATAGATTTGTAGCTTAGACGGTACTATATAAACTTAATGCAAACTAGTTAAAATTGTGTACTATTCCCTATATAAGGATAATAATATTAACCCTATATACACTTTATAATTAAAGGAGTTTAAGGGTAAGCTTAAGTAGTATAAGTTTATATAGGTAGATTTTAAGTTTAATAAGTAGGATTCTAGGTTTAAATCTAATAATAGATTTTTATATAAGGTTAATTAGCTTAGTAAACTAGCTATATAAGTGTTTACTACTTTTAAGGGTAAGTATATTACTATAATAGAAAAGAATAATATTTTATTTATTATAGCTTTAAGTATAATTATAAGTAGTTATATTCTTTCTTATAGTATTATATAAATACTTATAAAGTTATATAGGTTACTAACTATATATTATACTATTTATATATATTTAAATTTAAATATATAATAAAAATAGTTATATTTAATAATAATTATATATATTTAAATATATATAAAGTTATATATATATATATATACTAATTATATATAGGTTTGTAAGAACTATATAAAGTTTAATATATATAATTAAATTAAGCCTAACTAAAGACTCTAATTTTATATAAAAACTCACACTATGAAATTATTATTAATATAATTATTAAATTCTATAAAGACTTATATAAATAAGTATATAATTATATACTACTATATAGGATTATATTAATATATTTTATATTAAAAATAGTTTATATAACTACTATAAAAGTAGTAAAAGTATTTTTAAGGATTATATTATCCTTTTAAAGTTAAATATAAAAGGGTAGCTATTTTATATATATATAAAAATATCTACTCTTTATATAATATTATACTAATATATATATAGTTACTTAAACTATTAGTTTAAAAATAAGATTAAAAATTATATATTTTATTAATCCTTTATTATATAAATAGCTATAAGTATATATAAGAGTGTATACTAGCTTATAAAGATTAAGAAGGACCCTAAGGGTATTTTATAGGTTATAAACAGCCCTAAGTACACTCTAACTAAGAAATAGAAGCGTTTTTATAAATAATTAAAGAAATTAACTTTAAACATTAAGCTTAAGTATTTCTTAAAGAAGCTTAAAAGGAGCTATCCTAAATATATATAGATCTATATAACTATATATTATATAAAACTAATAATATATAAATATACTTTTAGTTTAATATAAATTAAGTAGGAGCTTTTAGAAATAAATCCTAGTGAATACCTCTAGGCTTATTAGATAATAAAGACTTATAGTAGTAATATATAGGTAGATTCTAAGGACTTTTAAGTTAAATAGGTTTATATAGTATTATATAGATTATATAGACTTATATAAGGGTATACAACTTTTTTTTTAGTTTTTCTTTTTAGTTTCTCTTCTTAGATTCTCTTTTTAAATTCTCTTCTTAATTTCTTTTCTTAAATTTCTCTTATATATAGTAGTATAGAAGTTAATAAGGGCTTTATTAAGCTTAGTTAGTCTATAAATAGACCTTTATATAGGTTTATATAATTTTATATAAGACTTTATTAAACTTTTAGGTTATAGTTTTTAAGTAATATATTTATATAAACTTACTTTATATATTTTATATTTATAATATATAAAGCTTATAAAACTTATATAAAATAATATTATATAGAGGTTATATAATTAACTTATACCTTATATTATAAATATTAATTTAAAATATAATATTTTAATTATTTATTAATTAAATATTATATTAAAAATAATTATATTTAAAATGTAAAGTATATAAAAGAATAAATTAAATATATAATTATAATAAAATAAATATTAAATTAAAAGCTATATAAATAATTTTAAATATATAATATTAATTATTATATTTATATAAAATAATAATAATATATAAAGTTCTTATATAAAAGTAACTTTAAATATAACTATATAGAATTAACTATATATAAAGATAAATATTTTTAAATTTAAACTTATAGCCTTAAATAACTATCTTTATAACTTATTTATAGTTATTATAAAGTAATATTTTATAAGGTATTACTTATATAAAACTATTTATAATAGCTTATCCTTACTTTAATATAATCTTTAATATTAATTAAAACTATTTATTAAAAGGCCACTAAATATATATATTTAAATATAGTTTATCTTTAGCTTTATAATAAATAGGTATATTTTATTATATATCCTTCTTATAATATAAAATTATATAATAGTATTACTAATATTCCAACCTTTAAATAAAGCTTTATAGGTAATAACCTAGGTGTATTAAGGGAGATAATAAATTTAAAGGGTAATATATTTACCTCCTCCCCTTTTAAAACCTTAATAATATTAAATATTAAATACTACTTCTTAAGCCCTTAAATCTTAAAGTATATTAGCTTATTTATCTTTATAATAGTTATATTATAAGGAATAAAAATAGCTATATTTATAAAAAGCTATTACTAACTATCCTTATTTAAAAGAGTTGAATTAAGAAATATAATACTAATAAGCTAAGATATATTAAAATACTAGGTTATATTAGATAATAAATATACTTCCCTTTATATCTCTACCTTATATAAGAGTAACTATAGCTACTTAATAAATATATAGTTTTATATATTTATACTATTAATATATATATTTTTATATAAATATAAGTATTTAAAGTAAGGCTAAATAAAAATAAGTATAGATTTATATTAATAATATTATATTATTTCCTTTAAGGTATAATTAAAGGGATTTATATAAAATCCTCACTTATAAAAATAGGCACTCCTTTAAATAGTATTATATTATATAATATATTATAAATATTTATAAATATCTTATATATAGCCTTAAAGTAATAATAATATTATATAAACACTTTATTTTATATTATTAATACTATATTATATATCTCTTTAATTAAATTTATATTATAACTTATATT